GTATATCTGCGCATCGGTAATAGTTGTAGAGTTCCATGGTTTTTTGTCTACCATCTTGAATCTCTTTGAACGAATTTGCTCCGTAAAGCAAAGAATGAAATTTAGTGTACATATTCGTAAATAATTAGTTACATTTGTCAGTCGATTATTAGCAGGCATACACACACATACTCGTCTTCACACAAACAACATGAGATTTTCGTAGAGAAACAAAATATCTATATTTATGTTCAGTTAATAATTGAAATAAGGTTATGATATGATAACGGTCTTACAAACCGGAAAAAAGGCCCAAAAACAATAACCGGGGGTTTTGGTGACGTTGGGAGTGCAGGGTTGCGTTCAAGGCCGAAGAGCGTGCGTTAGTGTGAGTGAGCTTGCTCGGAAAGCACGTAGCCATGAATCGTTGTTCACGGCGAAAGCAATTAACGATGTGTTGGCGACAGGCCATCTCCACGCGGAGGCACTGCAGTGAACTACGGTATACTAGTAGCGGCGAAAATCGCTTGGCGGGATTTCGATTAACGAATGAAATCGTGCCGATCTATTGTCCACGGTTGGCTCGCGAGAGCTCGACTATGCGGTTGTCTGCTCTTGCCATAGGACTGACAGCAGGAAACGCGACGCGAAATAATGAAATAAGTTGTTCACACGCAATCATGGGCAAAATACTATTCTCTAATGTCAGGGAGTGAAGGAGAAGAGGTCGATAATGGGATGCAGACGCAGTTCTAAGCAAGCGGTTATTATAGAACGCGAGGTAAACCGAGAGCCAGGTCGTTATAGAAATAAATTGTAGAATACAGAACAGGGTCTGAACCCTCCTTGGAGTAGAGGAAGAAGAAGAGATCATAAGGTTGCAATTTGTTTTTGTTAATAGCAGCAGAAACTGCGCCAGCACAGGCCAGTACCCATAAAGTGTAAGAAAAGGTTTGTTTTAATGCTGAATATTTGCAGAACTAAAAATTAATCTTAGACGCAGCACCGGCTAACCGCCGGCCTGGCCGTGCCAGCACGCGCGACAGAAGGGACAGTAAGGGCGGTGAGTGACGGCAAGGCGGCGAAGGGAAGTGTGGGGGGGGGGGGGGGGGGCGGGCGCGGAGTGTTTTCCGTAAATTTCATGCGACGCCCCCTTCTATTGTCCGATTGACATGATGTCACAGCGTTGGACAGGAAGGGCATGCGCCATCGGCTATAAGTCACATTTAAATATCTTGTTCTCCCTCGAAGATCTTAATAAATGATTTCAAATTGCGTTTTTGCTCTAGATTTCTGAAAGGCCATCGAGCGTAATTTCAGTTTAAAAGAAGGTCAAATGTCGTTTACAGATCGAAAATCGAACCATTGGTTCAGACATTATCGGTAAAGTAAATTTTACTTAGTTTGGTGCTGCCACGCGGTGGCTACATATTGTACTAGTGTCCGGACATTTAGCCTTAACTAATTTCCCCCAACACAGTTGAAATAGTAATTGTGTTAAATGAGAGCAAATATCATACCAAATTCTTCTTTCAATATTCTACAGCTAACCCATTTACGGCCACCGTTGCGAAAACGCAACACCAATTATTTAATTTTTTTTATGAGTCTGTTTGAAATGAAACTCCTAATACATTACTCTGGACTCTTCTTTATTCTGTGGTTCTGCACGTTTTGATAGTTTTCTCACAATATACACCATATTCCCTGTTGCGTTTTCGCAACGTTGGCGCAATCAGTGATCTTTCCGAGAAGCAGGTCCCGACTCGCATAGGCGGATGTCGTCTTAGAGCGCTCTCGTAGACGTGTAATATTACCGTTTCTTCAGTTCTCCCGTGACTTTTGCCGTTTTCACGCCAAATAAGTCCGGTTTGTTTCTTACGCGTTATTTATGACGTAGTGGAATAGTTGTGGGCCATTGTATCTTTTTTGCAGTAAGGAAAGTTTATTCCGATTAGTTTTGTTTTGAAATATAACTCCGAATTTTCTCTTGTGTCAGAATTCAGATTGTGTGAAAGCTTTGACAGTAGAAGAACTTACCGCAATCCTGGAAGAATCTGATTCGGAAACTGAAAATGTTGATATTGTTTATATACCACCTGAAGTGTCGGCGTTAACTGATGAAGATATAGATAACAATTTACTTACTGAGGATGTTTTGGAAAAAGACATCGCAGGGACGTTCGAATTTCATGGAAAGGAAAACCGTTAGGTAAAAATTTCTAAAACATCGAAAAGCTCCATGAAACCAAATTGGAATAAAACTGAATATCCTATTTATTCGGTCTTCCCTACGTCAGTTGAACCGGCATGTTTACAAGATATGGTGGTTCAGTATGGTAAAATGTCACCGTTTGAAATATTTTCATTGTTTGTGGATAATACTCTCTTGAAACTGATAGCAGATTTTTCAATAAAATATGCTAATTCAATCAATCGCCACAATTTTGTTTGCTCAGAAACAGTTGAAAAAGTTTCTAGGCACTTTGTTCTTATCTGGATATAATAGTTTTCCCCAACAAGATATGTTTTGGTCGACAGACGAAGACAAAGGCGTGGACCTGGTAAAGAAAGCAATGAGTAGAAACAGATTTAGAGAAAGAGAAATTTGCATGTATCAGACAATTCTTCTCGAGACAAAAGAGATAAATTTTCAACGTTACGTCCATTCATAGAGTATCTGAATAAAAAATTTATTCAGTTTGGCATTTTTTCCCATAATCTTTCAATTGATGAACAAATGGTTCCATACTTTGGAAGGTACTCGGCGAAAATGTTTATGAAAGGAAAACCTGTAAGGTTTGGCTTTAAAATTTGGTGCTTTTGTTCATCAAATGGTTATTTGTATCAATTTCAGCCTTATGGGGAGGCCACTCAAGAATCAAACTATGTTCATAAAACGTTGGGTGAGAGTTGTTGACTTACTTCATATAGTCGAAGAACCATCTCACCATCGTGTGTTCTTTGATAATTTTTTTTCTTCCATCAATTTATTTGTCACACTTCGAAAGAAGGGTTTCTTTGCAACTGGTACAATTCGTGATGCGCGAAGTGGAAAATGTACACTCACGGGCAAAAAGGAAATGCAAAAGACCCAAAGAGGAAGTTACGATAGTACACAAGACAATACAAATGACATTACAATGGTGGGGTGGAATGACAACAACATTGTTACTATTGCTACTAACTATGGTTCAGTTCATCCCCTTCACAAGGCTAAAAGATTCAGCCGGAAAGAACGTAAATCCATACATGTAAATCAGCCCGACATACTTATGGAATACAATAAACATATGGGCGGAGTAGATATTCATGACAACGGAGTGGCAAATTACAGAATTCAAATACGAGGGAAAAAATGGTGGTAGCCGCTATTTACCAACTCCTTAGACAGCTGTATGGTCAATACTTGAAGTTATTAAACCTTCTGACACCAGACAAATCCATGAGCCAACTGGATTTTAAAAGTTATATTGCAAGATGCCTCCTAAGATGTGAAAGTACGGAAGATGTTGAATATTCTGGAGGAAGTTCACATAGCTCAACAGTTTTGGACAGAATAAGATTTGATGGAGTAGGTCACATTGTTGTAAAATCTGATAACGAAACAAAAAGAAGCTGTAAATTGTGCCATAGCACCACCGTGTATCAATGTAAAAAGTGCAATTGTTATTTACATTCAAAATGTTTTGAAGAATACCATTTAAAAAAATAGGTGTAATTTGTACCTACAAGCGGCCAACGTTGCGTTTTCGCAACAGCAAAATTTTCCAACTTCAAATAGAAAAAAAATTTTTTGAACTTCATATTTGTGTTTTTAACAGTAAATAAATACTATTCAGTAAGAATACCGACTTTCTGTAATTTTTTTCTACCTTTGGCCGTTAATGGGTTAACTTCACTGACTTTCTGTATCAGGGATATATGGATAAGAAACTGTTGTAACCTATCCACAGATCTCCGAGTGAAGTTATCACACAAGTTAAGCCCTTCTCTTGGAATGTCAAAATAAACAGAGTAATCCAAAATTCTTGTCATGGTAACTATTCTAATCATTCCACCTGTCAATTCTTAACTACTGATAAAAAAGTGCACCTTTTCATTCATATTTAAAAGTTTCACAACATGCTGTTAATACACAATATTTAGAGAATGTAATAATGCAATAGTTCACTTATCATTTCTGTACAATATTTCTCGCACTTTATTGTTAAAAATCCTTAATCTTTCAATATTTTATTTCTGGGACCACCAGTACCTCAAAATCAGGCTTTAGGTAGAGAAAAACTCTTGCAACATGGACATACCCCGAACACAAATGCAGTAGATCTTGAGAAAATTTAGACTTTACCAAAATGCTACATTTTTAGTTTGCGTAGCCTCAGAAAATTAGGGACTTTTTTTAAAAAAAGATACTTTAATGCTTGTTATAACACATTTAATTATGAAATAAATTGATGTTATTTTTACTAAACAAGAGACATGTAAAGTATACATGTGTAATTTACGAAAATCACATCCTAATTAAAATCATACTTATAACTGTACCTGTTTAATAAGGAAGATTTTGGAGCCATTTTTAAGAAAAAAATTGTTTTTAAATTACCTCACTCAAAAGTGAATAAAACTCAATATTTACAACAAAAAAAATCATGACAAATTAAAAAACTATTTGTGAACAACAATTTTACATAAAGGTAAAATCATCAAAATAGTTAACCAAATATTGATGTCTGCAATTTTCAAATAATCAGTAAATAGTCAAAAAAGTTGGTCTCATGCTCAACTTTAAAGAAAAAATTCTAAGCCATTTTGGGGAAAATTTACAATATACCCAATTCACCCGTCAAATTAAATTAGTGTATTTTTGTAACAGTAAACCTACAAGTTCTGCAACTCCTTAAAAAATCACTTTAATCGTGTAACTAAACATTATTTGATATTCTTAGTTTTCTATTACAAAATTTCTAATGTAACTTGCTCACTACAATCTTTGTAACAGATATTCCCATTTGGAAGAAGAAGAAAAAAAAAAAAAGAATAAATTATCTTTTGAAAAATGTGATCAATACAAGATCAAGAATTTTCATAGATTTGTATCGAAATTCACAATAATTGCTGGTGATTAACAATATTGTTTTCTCTTATTATAAATATTCATGTAACCTGTTATAAAATAATTTTCCAAATTAAGTGTACTGAAGCACATAATCATATAGATCGCCAACTAAATCTGCAACAGTTTATGTGATCTTTAAAGAAATGTGCTAATGACATACCCAACATTTGTCAATAGTAGTTTGTTTTCTAATGTTAATGTGGATTATAATCCATATTATTCATTTTTTACCCTGCCTAATAAGATCACATTCAGATCGTTAAGAGCAGGACAAGTTGTGGTTACTTCAAAGAATCTACTTTCTATTAATTCCGTTTAAAATAGAGAGAATTGGATATTTATAACTCCCCATAACATTGTGTTCCAGATATGGTTATTTTTGCCCAATTTATTGCACACTTTCTTTCTTGTCATTGAATATGTGGATAATGTTGAAATGCATTCTTTCTTTATATAAACTAATAAGCTATACAACCTAACTAATTTATTTTGTAATTTTACCATGTGGATCATGGGTATGTCCCATTAATAAATAAACACCCCAAGGTCAACAGTTTAACTCAACTCACTTTATCTAATAGATTAAGTAATACTTTTTAGCATTACAAATGAAGAAAGGAATGTATATGAAATTCCACTATTCTGATAGTTTTTTTAATTTATCATTTAAAGAACTGTTACATGAACATATTACAATGGAACATAAGGTTCAGGGAATTCAAATGTTACTTCCCGACCAGTTAATTTCTTGTAAACTGATGCAAATGTATCGACCTGGAAGTGAAAAACACAGTAAAATTAGCTACAGTAAAACAAATACAAAACAATAAATACATTTCATGGTGAACCTACCTTATGTTCTATATTTGTTTGTTGATTTTTGTCTAAATGCACTTTTATCAACTGGCTGCCATCAAGTTTCACACGAATTCTTTTACCCATTATTTCAGCTGGGAAGACGAGATCTTCCAGAATGGCATCATAAACGGCAGTAAGTGTTCGACTAAAAGTGGGAAAAATGGGTGTTAATTACAGAAAATTTGACCTCTTTCTAACATTTTGCAAGAACGCAATATTGCCCATAACTATAATAGAATTTGCACAACAATTAAGAGACTTCAGCAGATAAGGACCCAGAAAAAGATACCCTACTAAATTCGTACTCAGATACAATTTGTTTGTATACATATAATTCTTCTCTGCACAGTTACAAAACTGTATGAGAAGACCGTGGCGCCTCTGGCCTGTCACTCATGTGGTGACAAGCCCACTTGATATCTACAAGCCTACTTGTGTAAAACAAAGTTCAGAGACTAGTAAAATATAAAATATTCACAGGTTTAGCTAGTAATAATTAGCTTATGAACTTATTTGTTTTACATTTCACTTTTCATTAAGAAACGTATGTTTCTTTAAAAGCATTCACATACAAAATACAAACAATTAGTACACAAAAGTCTGTATTCTACAGCAACATCTAGTTTCTAGGGATCAAGTAAAAAATAAGTCACAGGTGAATGTTAATTGAGAAAAATGTCTTTTACTTGTTTATTAGAAAGCATAACTGTTCATAATCTTGGAACAATATTACTAACCTAAACATAATTGGCCTTTCCATACCTAACACCTTCAAAATACCCGAATTCTAGTTGGGGGTGGTATTGCTTTATTTATGTTGTATGATTATTATTATTTACTACTACTACAAATATTATCTTCAAAATCATGTTAAAATAAAATTACCATAAAACTTTTTTAAAACCATACCCCAAAAATCCGATATTTCAATGAACATGGAACCTGCACAATTCTCTAAAGCATCCTTTTATACTACCTGAAGACAAAATTAGATAAAAAAATTGGTGTGCTTTTCTAGACAATTTTGAAAATATTTGAGACATTGTATAAAGCACCTTCAAAAATCAAAATGTCCAATTGAAACTCCCAAAGCCTCAAGATCATTCAGATTGATTGGGGATGACCAATTTTGAAGAAAATCAACTGAATGGTCTACGCTCTAACACTGACCACAGACTGATAGAAACAAACTTTTGCTCTACAGTCCATTTATCTTCAAGGCCACACAAAATATTCTGTATCAACCACAAGGACTTTTTCTTTATTTAGCAACTGGATTTATCCACTTTTTCTGCTCAAAATCCACCACTTCCCAGCACATGAACATTTTCTTGGTATGAAGTACCATCCTAATGGTGACAAAACTAATAGCTATTTCTACATGAAAACACTTCTACATGCAAGGTTTAATTACCACACTCGTGGAAACTCTTTTTATATGATTTTTATGTTCCCACAGGTGAATAAAAATGGGATCTTTAACATCAGTTCAACATGTTTTCTTAATCACATTACTGAACCTACACAATTTATGAAACTCATCGAAAGGAACCACACACTATAGTAAATATAAAAATTAAAAAAAAATGCAATGAAATGACTGGAATCATGGTAACTTGTGATTAAACAAAACGAGAATCAATATGCAGAGGAAAACTACTACACAATTGATAACAACAATTACAAGAAGAATCTCATAAGAAATCTAAAAAATGATTTGACAGTTCCCATATAGAATATGATGAACCCTTAATTTAAATACAGAAAATAGAACTATTTTTAGTAGATGTGCCTCACCACCAAAATTATTTGAGAAATTTCTAATTCTTCACACTATTTTCATGATCGCCATAAAACAAAAGGCAACTTTAAATACACAAATAATATTTTCGTTATTATATAGAGTTGTGAGCTGAAAAATCTCCCCCTGAACTTTAACAATATCTAACAATTTCTGTTAATATTAATGTAGCATTTCGCTTTCTACAATGCCATTTATTTCAAAATACTCTATCTCCTTCAAAATATTGGACAATTATCCAGCACATCTTGGGGGAATACCAAGAAAACCACTGCAAACAATTAGGTGTTGAAAACACACAGATTTTTACCACCTTAGGAGCTTAATGACATGTCAATATCAAGACAAAGTTTCCCGTGAGGATCAAATACCCCCCTCCCCACTAACTCCAACCGTACATAATATATGGCGAATGTAAAATTACCCAGTATTGATAGAAGTAATTGGGGGTGAAAATCTTTCAGATATATAAGCAGTACATAATTTTACTCTATTAATCATTATTCGTAAGAAGCAATATTCTCAATATTTATAGAGCAAAATTTCCTCAACACAAAGAAAAGGAGCAGTAGATCAAGTTTGTTCAGAACTCAGCTTTTAAAACCTAAGTCATTTAATCCTTTTTCTAATTTTGACAAAATGTCAGAAAAAATTTGAGAGCTTCAAACAGTATAACAGACTCTATTCACTTTTCTACCCTTATTAATTTTCAGGTTCAGCATCACCCAGAAAATTACAACTATAGGTAAAAATGTGTCATTCAAAATACTATCCATAAAAATGTAATTACAGCGAATTTGCATGCAACATTACACTTCACAATTTTATTCAACATTGCCACAAATACTGCCTATTGAAGTTTCTCTAGTCATAGGAAAAATCTCATCTACAGTAACAACTTACATATTCTTTAATACTATCATCAGAACACTAATTAATCGTACTTGATTCTGAACGAACTCTATATTTAAGTACCACAATAGATATAAAATGCTGTGTACACAAGAATTTAATAACTCAGGGCAAAAAAGATGGTAACATGCAAAAAGCATTTGCCTTAGCAGCTTCCTTAAAACTGATTGCAACCTTAATATCAATAGAAATTTTTTATTTCTTTGCATTTAGTACTTAATGTTAAGTTTAGTTGGCCAACAGAATGTTGGAAGAGAGACTCTCCAACATAAGTTAGACCATTCGCAGTGTTGTGTACTGGTTTTAATTTGTGATATATAACCTTTATGCCCAGAGGTATTTAATTAGAAGTTCAACAATTTCCAAAAGGAAAAGCAATCCATTCATGTCAAAATAAATACCCAAGTCAAGAAATATTAAAAAACAATGTATAATTACTTTCTGGGTCGCTTTTGCTTGTTCTTCGTGCGAGTCTTCCTTGTAGGCTTGGGAAGAATCTTTCTTTCTCCAATGAACACAACATGCTTTCCACTAAATTTCTTTTCCAATTCCCGTACAACGCGTACCTGAATTTTCTGGAAAGCCTTCAGTTTGGGGATAGGCACGTATATAATTATGGACTGTAAAGACAAAGCATTATTGAATTCACCTTCTAAAAGAATAAATTCCATTATTACACCAAAAGAAAAAAAATATTACCTTCTTGCCATTGAGTTCAATTTCGCGAGCTTTGGTAATGTACAGTTCCCTAAGCTGAGCTTTAAGGTCACTGCTCATTTCCAAATCCCATAAAGCTTGGCATATTGAGCTTTCGAAAGCGTCAGGCTCTGCACCCCCGCTTTTTCGAATCTTCTCATTTGACGTGAACATCTGTAACAAAACAACAATACATTACTTACAATCACGCAATTATATAATCATGCAATTAATAGTTAACTTTCTCAGCGCAATGGAAAAGCCCAATCAGAAATTATTCGAACACAGTTCATAAGCTCACGTTCGTGAGCCCTATGTTATCTTCAATTATCCAAGTAATTACAAACCATCCTTTGTAGAATAACGTCTTTAAGAATAAAATAGTAATAGAGTATTTCATTAAATTCACTATTTACTCCCACAATAATCACAAATAGAAGCCAACCAAATTTTTCGTCAAAAATAGAAACAAATACAACGTGTACCTTGCCTTCCTTGCCTGCCTAGCGGTGAAAGAACTTCATAGAAAGCTGAGTATACTTGGTAGACTTGCTACGTACTGAACCTATCCACGATACTTCTTCCAAGCAAGGAATAAAGAACATTAAGTGGCTACGTCAATTTAATTTCTATTAGTTTCTTATGAATTCAATAAAACGAACAAATATTAATTGCTTTAAAAAATTTATTTTAAAAATGTATTAACATTAAATTTCTTCTACAGATAATAACGTTAACTTTAAAAATTGTGTTCGAAGAAAGTAGTCAATCAATGAGAGGAAGTGAAATTTTGTATTCATTTCTCGAACAAACCGCAAACAGCGTTTTATCTTGGTAGTCTTTGGAAACTGACTGATATTCCGTGACTTTATTCTCTCTGGTTCGGTTCGGGATCTCGAGAAATCTCGGGAAAGGAGTCCTCATAAGTATTCTTCAGCGTAAAGGTAGAATTCCTGTAAAATTCTAGCACAATGGCTGGTCTTTGTGCGAGAATTGTGCTCCAAACATCCAGACGCCACTTTTCATGCACGTCGGTCAAGTTGGCTGATAAAAGTAATTATACCAATATTTTTTAAAACATTCGTACTAGATAAGCTTAGAGGGGGAGTCTGTACAGTTGTATTTTCCCATGCTTAATGTTTTACGTGTGTTACCATTTAACATTTATTTAATATTAAAATACTGAAAACTCGTATTTTTTAAAAGTATCATTGAATGCAGATTGTGCGAGCAATAAATCGACCATAAAAATTTGTACTGTATGCCCGTACTTTATTTACCTTGATCTCAAATTTCAGTGATGCCTGATCCCATAGAACATGCTACGGGTTTGGAAAAGCGAGAATTGTTGGCAAGACAAACTGGTAATGAAGTGAGTATCATTCTTGACCAGGACGTATTTATACTGAATTTACTTTTCAATTATAAATTGTTTTGACTAGTTTGAACCATTGTGATATCTTTAAAATTTGTTTTATTTATTTTCATCAAGTACTTTAAAACCATTTCCATCGCACAAGCATCAAGTAACATAACTGGAGAGAATGAATAGACAGATTGCCCCCAGGGGGTTAATTCACTGTAGGAAGACATTTAATAAAATGAAAATGTATATGCAACACAAATGTCAGAAAAATTGCTGCAGATATTTACATTTTGATTTGCATATGAAAAACTAAATTGTCTGATCAAGTCAAAACTTAAGATTGGACTGGAGAATACCAAGTTCAATGATTCAAGGAGAAATGGTTTTATCATAAATTATAGTATGATTTCTTGTTTTTATGTAGAAAAGAAGTAGAACTATATAAGTAAGAAGAAAGCAATTTTTTCTTGCACCATTTGAAAATAAATTATACCACTGAAACCTGTATACAGAAGTGTACTTTGATTTAGTGGAAGTGTATTTGGAATTAAAAGCATTTCAAATTTTATTCTTCACTCTAAAATTGTTATTGATTTTTTTTGCGAAGAGAAAATATGGCATGGTGCAAATTTAAAACAAGTTGGAATTGGATCCATCATTGGTAGGCTCATAAAGTTCATTCAGTATTTGAGAGAGAAATAATTATTTCTGTTTACAGGATCCGTTTGACATGAAGGTAATAAAGCGCTCCATGAGTAGTACCCGAGATAAGCCTAACACCATTCCTTCAGCATTTGAATCGCGGATTATTGGTTGTATTTGTGAAGAGGATGCCACTTGTATAAATTGGATGTGGCTGTACAAGGGTCAGCAGACACGTTGTGAATGTGGTCACTGGTTTAAGTTGGTAGACAAACCTCCTGTGTAAATATTTACAACAACTTAGTATTTTCTTTTACCTTCAATTATCTGGAAATGTTCCTGTATGGAAAATTGAGCCACTTGGTTATTGAAGTAATTGCATAATGGCTCCCCTATTGTGCTTAATAGTGTACATAATGGAAATAAAGTACTAATAAAATCTTGTTTTTGTTGTCTAAATCTTAAATCCTTAACAAATTTGTAAGTTACAAATGGTTTTAAGAAATTGTCCTTGAATTTTAGCTGAATAGGAACTACAAATTCTGCCACATGTACTTCTTAAAAAATTGAGAAATTGGATATATAGCATTGAAATGGTTGAAAATAAGCCTATATCCTTTTAAGCTGGCTGCCAGTGAGTTCAGTACAGCCAGTTACACAAAAAATTGATTTATACAGACTGAAAGCAGAGCACCACTGTTTGTGGTATAATCCTAACTGATGCCTTTTTTTAGACTGACTTGTGCAGAATTGCGTGTGCATTCCATATGATTTTGGGACAAAAACATTCTAAAAAGTTTTTGTTCTGTGAAGTGTGAAATGTAATGTTTATCGTTATTGCTAAGAATTTGAAAAACTATGAATGTGAAGAAAGGAAAGCTTCAAACCATGATTAAGTAGGACCCTGATGTTTGATTGTGATAGCTTGTTTAGATTTAACCCCCAAAATATTGGCATTTTTCTTTGCAGCACTATATTCTCAAAATGAAATTCAGGAAATGAGCACTATAAAATTTGTCAATTTTGTTCATGGTACTAGAATATGGACTTATAATTCTTTACCCAGGAATTCAACAAAGCATTAAAGCTCCTTTTAAAAATAAAATCTTCACGACCGATCAATCTTTACAAAATTTTTTGATGTTAATAGATGAAAACAACTTTAATTTATAAATACAATACTCTAAATCCAAACTGCATGTTAGTACTAAAAATTTGAGTCAAGTTCTGTAGTTAAAAAATTCACTATTGTCGGAGACCGTTCCTTTCACTAATATTTAAAAAAAAATACTATTCTTCACAAAGAACCAATGTTGTGGTTCATGATCGTACTTCTGGAAATCACTGTTTTATAAAATAAAATATTAAGAAATAATTTGTGAAATATTTCCTTAAAAGCAAATTTAATTTATTTACATCCTCGGACATTATGTAAGTTTTCCGTCGTTTAAAGTTTGTACTCCTGTTCCACCGTGGAAGCAAAGAAAATATAACAAAGAAGTCGGTCTTAGATTACCTGTGTAAAACCATAGCCCTCTATTAGTATGTCTAATATACTAACCATACAAGCGGGCTATGGTAAAACAAATACTCTTCTTTGGTGAAAGCCAAGTTCATTGTCAAATAAACAATCAATTATTACATTATAAATAATCGATTCGTTTTAGACCATGGTTTAAACAAGTACAAAGAAGTATTTATTACACAGTAATTTATCTTGTTTCATTATTAAAAGGTATAATTGAGCAAGATGGTATTATTCCGCGGATACACTTTATACATTTTTCACGGTGGAAAAAATCACGATGGATATCTTTCCCAAAGAATACTGTACTAGTACTCTTTGATCTCCCCACATTTGCTCGCTGGCTCCAACCAGAGAGTATATTCCAACCAAGTATCCAACCAAGGAGGATATATTATAACCTCCTTGGCCCAAGCCTATCGATTAAACAAGAACGCTTTCCATTAAGTTGGCATGACAAAGATGACGGCTTGTTTAATGTAAGTTGGCATCTGCGGCGCACCTTACAAAATCTCGAATCTACTGTGTCTTCTGGACGAACCGTTTATGAGAATGGTATTATTTTCCCATGGACTCGTGCCAACAAGATTCCTGATAATTTTATCTCATCTCTCTATAGCCGTGCTAATTTTATGGTCTAGGGTAACGTAATGGAGTCTGTTCAAATTCAGATCTGACAATCATTAAATATTTTTAGTGATATATATTATACATGACTGAATACTATTTTATATTTTTCTCTAGGATCAGAATGTAAAATCATGTCTACCTTTGGATTATACAGATGATGAGTATTTATTACAAGATAAAGAGTGAGTGAAATATGATTATTAAAAAATATATTGCTCTTGAATATAATGTAAAATTAAGTTCAATTTCCAGATTGGTTATTGGATTGAGTATTGCCCTGGGACTACTAGGATTTGAATTGTTGGGCTTTCTGTCAGGAGTAACAATGTTTGTGCCTCTCACAGCAATGATTTGTATCCTTTTTATGCAGAATTTATTTAAATGATGTCTTTGATTTATTTTCAAGATATTTGATAAAATTTGTTTATAATACTAATTAATGTTGACAAGGTGTGTGTGTGTTTTAGTATTATTAAAACTTGTGAGGAGGTTATCATTCAAAACTGTGTGTTTGCACACTTTTATAATATTTTAGAGGTGTGTGTTTTTTCTTAACGTAATGCAGCTATTGCCTGTCATGGCAGTGCTTCAATTTTACTAACATATTTTGTTTTAGATGAATGGGACTGCCATCTCTATTGGTGGTTATTTACCTTCTGTAGTGTATTGCCTGCTGTTACTGAAGCCGTCACAATTCTCAGGTCATTGTTCCTGAAATATTAATATAAACTAGTTAAAGAGTTCACAACTGTATGTTGTGTTCAAATGCAACATAGACTGGTGTTTAGAAACTTATTTTGTTTCTAAGGAAAGTGTGAGTTACTCAGTGTTTAAGAAGTTTGAGAAAGTGCAAATAATCACACTGCCTGTTCAGAAAAAAAATTTGGGCATTGAAAAACAATTCTCTCAAATACCTTATACTTAATAACTGAAAATACCAAACTGTGTAATAAAAGGTGAAACTATTTGCCTTCAAGACATTTTTCAGCTGTCTAAAAGTGCAATAAACAGCTATCTGATGTTAAACATAGTTGCAAAGCATTAACATCATTCATTTCAGGATGGATACAACAAACTTAAATTATTTTTAAGTGTTTTCTGTGTTAAATTATATATACTATTTATGTAGACAAGAAAAGTATTATTTCAAAAATATTAAAGTTTGTCAGATGAACCTATGACCGTGATATAATGGGAGGAATACTGTACACAGTAAAGGCATAAAAATATTCTTACAATGTTGCAATATAACTGTGTAAAATAATAAACTGTTAACAACCCTTTTTTACTGCAAAATATTTGAAACTGGTGCTTCAGCAGGGCACAGACTTTCTTGTACTTGTTAGTTTTCTAATTTCTTTGTCTGGGCTAGCATTTCGATCTTGGCTCATCCTCTTGCCAACTGCCATTTTTTGCTGCCCAAAGTATGTTTTTTTGTAATTTTCACAATTTTTCAGATTCCTAATGATAGAACCAAAACATTAAGAAAATCATAGAAGACTAAAATCTTGACCTATATGTATTTTTTGTTGAAAATTTTAAAGGTTGTTTTTCAGAAAATGTCATTAAAGAATTATTGTAAATACGAAAAATGAAGAGCATTATCACAGAAAACTTTTGAGTTTTCCAGAAACTTCATTTTCAGAGCACTCACAAATGCAATAGTGTAAACAAATTATTGGAAATATGCATATTATTGGTGTGAGAGAAATATTTAAAAAAGTTGTTATTTTTGAAAAAGCAACAAAAGAATATTAATTTTATGTCATTGTGTACTGTGCATTTAGCATAGTCCATACAAAAAGTTTGAAGAAAGTGTTTGAAGCCACTTTTGAGAAAATGGCATATGACCATATCTGAAAATGCAAAATTTTGAGTTCATTTTCACAGAAAACTATTGAGTTGTCAAGAATCTTTATTAGACCTCATTTAAAGCACATGCACTCATAAATGTAATAATGCATACAAAACACAGCTAATGTAAATATTAACAATGTGAGGGACAAGTAAAGCTAATACATTTTTGTAATTTTTGAAGAACCAAAAGAATATAACAAAATTATCTTTGTCATATTCAGTTCATTTAGTGATATCCCTACCAAAAGTTGAAAGAAAAAAGTTGGAGATGTTTTTGAGATTTTTTGTTTTTGCTATTTTTTATCATTGTACAATTTCAGACACTATTTCATGAGACCCACAAAACTTATAAAAAAATTTAGAGGCCATATTGAAAGAACTAATTGAGGAAAACAAATTTAATTTGAAGGGAAAATTTTCAATTTTGTAGTAGTAGGAAGATGCCGAAAAACTTTCCAACTTTTGCCATTTTTCAAATTCTGAGTTAACAGTGAAAATCAGACTTATGCCACATTTATGAGTGTATTTCACTCTTCTTACAAGAAATTTAAAGAAACAATTTGGAGGAATTTTTGAGAAAATTTTGAAATTGCCTTAGGGGCTTCATGTAAAATATCCCCTAAAAATTAACGAATATTATTCAAAATTGCAGAACTTTGGGTGAGGGCAGATGGGGAGAAGTAATATGGAAAAAAAATCGTACTTGGAGTGTGGGCCAGGCCTGCCCAACGCATGCTCCCGGGGCCCGCGATAGCCCCGAAAGTGCAAGCGGTGGGGGTACGACGCTTTTAGGAGGGGAGAGACGACTGCCGTTGCACGTCGCGGCGCGTAGATTGAATGCCGGGACGTCCAATGCATGCTGAGAAATCATTTTCGCACTTATTTAATGTGTGATGTCCTGTGTTTTAAGCTAAAAGGGCCATAATTCACTATTTACGTTCTTCTGTACACTGTTGCGTGTCCACATTTGTATGTTTGTTTTAGTTGATGTTCCTTTTCACTCTTAAGCAATATTTTAAAGTAGTGATCTTTTTTAAAACTTTATTATTAAATTCCCACTAACAAATTTACAGTTTAATTATTGACTGTTCACCAGGAATGTTATAATCTCCAAAATGAAAATTGTGAGAGCAATCTCTCACATCAAGAGTGACATGAAAATGGTATATAGGCAATTGCATGAAGGGGAACGTTTAGCAGCACATATATTTGTGAACATTTCTCCCCATTATGAATATATATAAGATATCAACGAACAAACCTTCTGGTGGTATGTTACGGACAATCATATTAGCACGATTCTTGTTAATTAGAATGCTAAGGACTTAATATTTTTATATGATGGATTAAATAATGGATAAGTAATGTGTGATATTAGAAATATCTAATATACTCTCAAATTTCAGCGGAGAATAATCACGATTTTTTTTAAAGAATAAATCGTTCTAGCTTTATGAGGACCGACTTATTCAATTGAGCATACCTGTAGTTAAGAAAAAATAGTTTATGGCTGTCATCAAACAAATCACTATAATCATTTTGTGTTTAGCAAAACACAATATTTGTGATTACATCGTAGTAAAGCGAATTATCATTCCTATAAGCAATTATAATTTTTATGTCCAAATCAAATAGGTATAATTGGTTGTAGTTTGATATTTCACATTGCCACATATCGACAACAAACATTTCCAAAGTAATACAAAGAGCAATATTACTTGAACTGTTACAGTCATGTCCTCGATTGTTCTCAATTTACGCGCTGCGGTTCATATTACGCATTCTAGTTAGTCGTCCCCACTCCTAGAATTTTGCCTCATCCCCACCCTTCACATTTCACCCCATTTGCACTCAAGTAGCTCGCGCGCGGCTCGCGAGGTCAGACAAAGTGCAAAAGGCTGTGTAGTCCTGGTTTAGGCTCTAGTATTGTTCACAGACGAATGTTATAAAAAATAGTGTGTGCTGATTTGCGTCAAGTGGCTAGTTAAAAAATCCCGAGTAACATGTTATATAAAGAGGATAAGAAGAAATTCTTTGTTTTATTTCTTGCCGTTTACTGCATATCCCAACAAGCTTCTTTCCGCCCCCATCCCCGCCCTTCAAACGCCGCTCTTCGCCCGCGGGGGTCGGGCGAGCCGAAATAGCCGGCGCGGGGCAGGCGCCAGGGAGCGCGCGCGCGCCGCCGCCGCGCCGAGTCGTGTCGCTTGGGCCGCGATGGCGCGCTGCCCCTGCTGCTTCCGTCTGCGGGTACTGTGTCGCTGCGCGCTTGTGGAGTGTTTTGTGTGATTCGCTTACAGCCCTCAGTTTGTAAGCACCCTCCCCCGGGCATTGTGCCCTTGAGTAACAAGTCCTTTCTGAGATTGTCCTTGGCGCATTTGGATTCATTCAAAGCTTGTATTGTTATGGAGTACTTTAACACTGATTTTACGGTCAGTAACAAACTAGAGATGAAGCCAATCTGAGGTCGAAGGTTATAATTTCCAGAAATACAAATGAAGTACACAACATAATTACGTAGTAGTAAGTATCATTTTCATTACAAACCCGTGCCTATTTACAAATACGTAAAATGCTAACAACTTTCTGGCTCATGGGAATTTGTTTTTAAAAGTGAGTGCTTTACAAGCTGTATTCCAGTAGAAGCTCATATTTCACGTTGTTATTGTCCTGCTAATATACTAATTTCTGTCATGGTTAATAATGTTAATGAACTGCCATTTGAAAGGCATATATTTTACTCAGGACTGGGTTAGATGCGAGTTCACTCGAAAGAAGAGTCTGCAATGATATATTTTTATTTATGGTTTTCTAGTTCATTACTGTGTGTTTATATATCAGAAACGAAAGTGTAATAGTATACTCAATACCCTTGCGGGCCTTTCGGATTTTATTATGCCCGTTTCACTACCACAACAAATAAGTATTTTTTTATTATTTGTATTTTATAAACTTAAGAAGCGGGTAACACGATAAATAAATGGTATAATGCTCAAATAAGAAAAAAAACTTATGTAAACATATTGTTGAATTAACATGAAAATTGCAATTTTGGAATGTATCTATAAAAATCGTTTTCTTGAAGTTTTCAATCGTGACTATATTTTTTCAATTCTTGGCTTTCTATTTACAACATGGGAAACAAATATAAACGTTTCTGGATCGTTGAAGAAAGTAACTGACGTTAAATGTCATGCAGCATCTAGTTGTAATTTCAGTTTCGTTCTGTCACGCATGGCAGTGGTGAACCCAGAGACAAATTTTGGGAAGAGAAATCATAAATGTTATGGTCGAATATATCATCACAGATTTTGTAAAATGTCGCAGACTACACTCAGCTCATGCTGTGGTACGATTTTATTCCTTTTAATGATTATACGAAAATATATTGCTTGAAAGTTTCGTGACAAGTTAAAATGAAAAGTTACAGAAAAGTTGTAGGGGGGAAATTTCCCTTCCCCCCCCCCTTGGGTCCGCGCCTGCGTATGGTTCTTTCGTATTGTTAATGAGACCTGATGATGAAGAAGATTTCATCACATGAGTTGTAGTAAATATGAAATATAAATTTTAGAAAACTTGTAGTGCCCTTAAAATTTGTTATAATGTGAAGTTGTGTTCTGAATTTGGAAAAGGCGGACTGTTTTACATTTAAAACTGCAAGGATATTAATTGGATCTAGAAGATATGGGTAATTATTTTCATTTAAGATACACGCTGATAATTTTCTTGATGTTTTATAATTAGACGATTCTGACCTTAATAAAATTAGCAAGGCTACACCAGCGCACACTTTTCTCGTTGTTTTTAACTTTTGCCATTTTCGAAAATTTAGTCAGTTCAACGAAAATGAGACCTGGCCCTTTTTTAAACCGTCCTTAGCACTATCGGGAGGGGGGGGGGTAAAAAAAATGTTGATGCAACTGAGAAAAAAGAAATTGCCTTCAAGCAAAAATTACGCTAAAACAATTCGTTTACAAAAAAGTTCATTAGAACCTTATTTAAAGATTTATTTTTTAGCACATATTTCATTAAGGAAAAATCTCTATCGCCAAGATTGTACTATTGCTCTGTTAATTTGTTGCAATTTTCGAAAATATTGAGAGTTCTCCTAAAATGGGACCAGCATAAATTTTTCCCCATCCAAGTCATCTATAGCCTCCCAATCCATCACGTCAATGTAGTTCGTAAGCCCTTATCGTTCAAGAACACCTTTAATCCTCGGACCAGCAAAGTGGTCCGGTTTAAAAGAAAAGGAGGCGGGTCACATATCGCAGCCACGGCCCGTAGATTCATTCGCCACGCACACTGGCTTACCACTCACAGGAGTTACTAGGGCAGGGGAAACTTCTTCAAAGTAAGTTGGATGTGATGTATGAGGGTAAGGGAAATCTCACCCTCCCACAGCACGACTAAAACCCACGCATTTACACAGGATTCGAACTCGGAAACTGAATGTAAGGCAGACTTTGAAGCAATACCCCTATCCCAATTTACATTTTTTAAAAATTTTATTTTATTTTTATTTAAATTTAAAGAACCAATGGATAAATGTAATCTCGAGAGCTGCCGCTGGAAAGGCCTAAGAGAACGAAGTTCGCTGTTAGGTCGAAGGAAGTGGTTCGCAGACGTCGGTAGAGTTCCCGGAAGCGGTCCTTCGCACAAGGAGTGATGTGTGATAACGTGGATTTCCTGGAAGAGAGAGTGGGGCGGGGCGGGGAGGAGCAAGACTGCATCTATCTCAGTGAGACTGGTGGCGGTAGAATCGAGGGCAAGACCTCGTCGGGGCAGGCTGCCTTGGACTT